TGCACTGCTACTACAAGTTGTTCGACTTTTATGACACTTGCTTCAGGACAGTCACCTCATTCTAATGATGTTTTAACAGATTTATATGAAAAAAATAGTTTACCATTAGCAAATGTATCATTTTTCTCGTCAGTATCTGATCATTGGTATTGCTCTATACAATCAAGTAAAGTTTGCAAAGTATGTGTTGAAAAGAGAAATTTAATCGAATCACTCATCAGTAAAGTGAACACGTTAACATTAACTTGCCAAAAATTAAAAGGTCAAAAGTTATTTGATAGTGTTAAAAGTTCAGTATTTACATGGAAAAAAATTAAAACTGATGCTAAAATGAGCTTTTAAACTGGTTTATCAACAATCAAATTATTTGAGAATTTGTTTCTACTAATTAAATCATGTTTACCAAATTTAGTTTATTGGTCTAGTACAAAAAAAATTACCAATTCTAAAAACCGAAAAAATATGCTTCAATGAAAAAATTTAAAAAATTATCACAAAGAGATGAGTTTTTACTTGTTTTAACGTGATTAAGATTAGGTCTTTTATGTCAAGACTTAGCTAAGCGTTTTGGCATATCCCCAGCATTGTGTTCTCGTACATTCACAACTTGGATTAAAATGTTAAGTCAAGTTTTAGGACATGCATTAGTTGTATGGCTTCCACGTGAATCTATTCGTAACAATCTCCCACCTGTTTTTGTGAAAGCTGGTTATCAAAAATGTAGAGTAATTCTTGATTGGGCAGAAGTGTTTATAGAACGTTCAAAGTCCCTTGATAAGCAACCAAGCACCTGGTCAGAATATAAGCATTTCATAATACTCATAATACATTTAAATTTTTAATAGGTGTTAGTCCAACTGGATATATTACATTTCTTTCTTCGTGTTATGAAAGAGCAAGTGATAGGTTTATTACAAGAGATAGTGGTATATATAATCTACTAGAGAGAGATGACGAAGTTATGGCTGATCAAGGTTTTCAAATTCAGGAAGATTTAATTTTAAATTTCTGTAAAACTAAACAGGTTGCAAATCTAAGAATACACGTAGAGCGAGCTATTAACCGAATTAAAACATACATAATTCTAAATGGAAGTACGTCAATTAGCATGCTGCAACATGCAAATGACATTTTACTAACATGTAATTTGTAATTTAAAACCAAAACTAATAGCAGACTCTAAACCAAAAAAAAGTACTCATTAAATAAATTTCTTGTTAAGTCTTTTTTTTTTTTTCGTTTGCAAAAAGGTTTTTGTTTTTGTTTTATTATTACCTGTATTATATGTATTATACTTAATAATGTACCTTTGGGTGTTGTTATTATGTCTTATCTCCTCAATGATGAATAAATGTTCTTAACTTTGCAGGAAATTTTTTTTATTAAAATTTATCAAATCTTTACATTAATATCTTATTTCTATCTTATTTATTGTTAAAGTTAGTTATTTGTAAGATATATGGTGTGATATTTTTTAAAGTTTTCTCTCCTTCTAATGCATAAAGTATTTTATGATTCTAACTATTTTTACTATAAAACTATTTTTATAAAACTATTTTTATAGAATCATAAAAGATTCTATTTTTTCAAAACTTTTTTGGTATGTAACTTGTAGTTTTTCTATATTTTTAAAGGCAATTAAGGAACTAAAAAAATATTTTAAAAAGGATGAAACAAAGGAACTCAAATATAATAGAGATTGATTGGTTAATCGGAGGTAGAATAATTTACACTAGCAGTAAGCAACCCGTAATACGCGTTGTTAGTAAACAAAATTAAAAAAAAAACGCGTATAGAAAAGTCTAGAAACTACTTTAAAATAGATTAGCCTAAAAAATGACGTAACTCGACTAATAATAATATTAAATTAGCGTATTCATATTATCAGATGTAAATCTCTATCGCTGTATTAAGTGGATGCAAAACAAATCTAGTACCTTTTTTTAAAGTTGAAAGATCTGCAAATTTAAAATCAGCTACAGGCAGCATTATTTATAGCAACGACACTGATTTTTGCAATAAGGAAATTAATTTTTTGGCTTAGACAGCAATGACTATTTTTTAAGGGTTCCATAAGCATATTGCCGATAAAAAAAATTTATTTTTTGATTGATTTTTTATATTTTCTGACTAGGTCAAACCATGTCCATATGAGCCTACTAAAAATCAAGACTGGGGTGGGGAGAGATGTTTCACCTCAGCGGAGGCGGAGTTTTTTCAAAAGTGGGGCAGTTGAGGGAAAAGCATTCCAATTTTGGCTTTCCCTCCTCCGCAGTTTTGGGAGCAGCCGTGGTGCAGTAGTCAGTTCGCTTACTTTAGAGGTTAGAAATAAAGTTAATCTTTGTTTCTGTTAATTTAAAAAAGTTCAGGGGGCTAATAACAAGGTTCTTTGACTAAATTTTGAGTTTTATTTCACGAATATTATTATTGTTATTGTATGACATCAGAGTAAAAATAATCTGAAAAATATCTTTAAAGTTAAGGAGGGGGCAAAAGCTACCTTAATAAATAGTGAGAGGTTGCGCATGACCCTCTCCACTATCACTTACGCCTCCACTGTTACGCCCCTATCGCCGGTCCTGACTTACTACTACTTTGGGTGTTGAGGAGTAGATGCCTTCAATTACAAAACTCGTTATTTTTTTTCAAAATTTGTTATTTCTTTTTAAAATTTGTTAATTTTTGAAACAAAATGTAAAATCCCTAAAAGTAAAAATACGAACCTACAATAGCAGTATTTTACTTATAACCTTTTGACCATATAAACTTTATGAAAGTATAAAAAAGTTAAGTCCCCACAGGAGCAGTGGCGGATTAATGAGGCCTGGGGCTATATTTGTTTTTGGATGTCTTTTTTACGGGCCAGAGCCTAACAATGACCAGAAAAAAAAGTTCCTCTAAAAATTTTTCGGGCCTCTAAATTTGCGGGGCCCGGGTCTAAGCCCCCCTCCTTGATCCGGCACTGCCCAGGTGTGGTAGGAATAGAAACGTCACATTACCTTGATAAAAATAAAATTGATAAAAATAAATTACAAAATCAAAGTAAAATCTTCTTCATAAAATTCAATAAATTATAAAAAGACCATAAGAACTTAAACTATATGTAAAGATGGTAAAAGTTAACTTGTATATATTATGGTTGTATAAATAGTACATATAGGTTAAACAAATGGGGGAAAAAAGTTTGTAAATATTTATATTTAAATTGTATCCCCCAACATTACAACATAAATTTATCCTCAAACAATATAATGTCGCAGTATTATATATTTTATCCTAATATTACAAAACCAATTTAATTAAGAAATATAATAATATATTATCTACAATCATAACAGAATTAGAGGAAGATAATAATTAGTGGAATTAGAGCAAAAAACTAAGTTTTTAAAAACAAGCTAAAAACCTAAATATAAAAGAATTTTTGAAAAAATTTAAATTAGGTGCTAAAAATAGATTTTAAATAGTAATCTTTATATTAATTAATGAATTTATCCTATAACAAACTCCACAAAGATACATCAAAATCAATTTTATCTACAACTATGCCATGTGGGGTCCATACAACAAAGTATGTAACACTACACTTTGTAACAGCCATTTGCATCATACATTGGGTGTTATAAGTATGGTTAGTTTTAAGTTTTATATCAACACCCTCTTTTATTAAATATGGTAAATTTAATTCTGTTGGTGCAGTAAAATTAATCTTGTAAGGACATTTCACATCAATACATGCATTAGGACAGCAATCACATGACATTATTCGGTCTGGACTTGCTCCAATGTAAGATTGTTTATAATCAAGCTGTAGTCCAAATTCATTAAAATCTAGATTTATATGATGTCCTTTCATTTTTACATAAAACGCATTCGCAGCTTCAACTTCCATCGTATTTATCCATACTCGTTGCTAACTCGCGAGCTTTAGAGGCAGTTATAACACTTTTTCGATAGTGATACCAATTTTCATTTTTATTTTGTCCTCGTGTTAGTAATTCTATTTGTTTTATATTTTCGGCTGACATGTTTACTTCTAAACCTGTAAAAAAGTTCAACACAACACGAAGAGGTAGAAATTAAACTGTCAATGCTTAGCAAATCAACTGGTGGCATATCAACTGTTGTCAAAACTTCACAAAATGCTTGTTAGCACGATTTTCTTAAGAGCAGTCGCTGCATCATTGGTATTTAATAATTGTACTGTATTATTCGATAGTGGATTATATTTTTCTTTTTGTGTATCTACTAACTTTCTCTTTTTTTTTACCTCTTTCGCCAAAATCTTCACAACTAAAGTCAAGGTCTTTGATTTTAGATGGCGCTACTTTTATAGTAAATATTTGTTTTAGCAGTTTTAATTAGATGTTTATACTTCGTTTTCTCAAGTAAATATTGTAGCGGAAATATTTTTTCACCTTTCCTATTGGAGTTCAGATCTCTTAAAAATGACGTATTTTGAATTTGCTCAATCGGTGTATTGTAGCTACTATTGTGATTTTCCAAATATTTGTGCATAATTTATTCTCTTATGTGTTCTTCTTTTATCATTTTGAAAACTAATTTTAATTTTAATTTTGAAAACTAATTTTAATTAATACATTTTTTTGAAAACACAACACGTTGTAAACAAAATACAAAACAATTAAAAAGATTTCATTATAGCCGCTGAAAAAAATGACATTCTTTCACATTTATTTCGTGTACACGCTATATATATATATATATATATATATATATATATATATATATATATATATATATATATATATATATATATATATATATATATATATATATATATATATATATATATATATATATATATATATATATATATATATATATATATATATATATATATATATATATATATATATATATATACATATATATATATATATATATATATATATATATATATATATATATATATATATATATATATATATATATATATATATATATATATTTATATATAATATTGTAGACTATTTTAGATTTGGCTTGTATCATATATGTAATATTAGAAAAATTCAAAAGCAGAAAAGTTTGGATTTAATTCTACTATGGGTAAAACTTTATTGAGAAAAGTACTCCTTGTTTTTGTTTCAATTTTGTTACTTCTTATAATGATGATCCGGACTCCGGTTTATAAACAAAACTTAACTTTTAAAAGAATTAACCAAACTAACATAATGAACCAAGATTGTTTTAGAAATCGCTTTAAAACGACTCTTCTAATTATTGTATACAACTCTCCTCTTTATAAACATTTGAAGCTACTTCAAAACTTATACGTTAATGGTTTTCTAAACATGTTTTTTTGTGGACCAGAGGACGCAACATCACCTTCTTGGATTTTAAAAAGTGTAACATCTAATGGATATTTTACTTACGAAGAATGCACCGCACGAATTATGAGTATTTATCCTAATTATACCGGGTATTTAGTAATTAACGATGACTTGTTTTTGAACTACTTAAATATAAAAAATTTTAACTTGTTTCAAATTTGGGAAGGACCATTACCTACTAAACTTACTGATACTCATTCAAAACCTATAGATTGGTATTGGTGGAACACTCCGTGGGGCGTAAACAAATGTTTTAAAGCTTTAGAAAAAGTTCGTTTACTTAACAAGTATGTTAATCTTCAACCAAATTTAAGTGAGGCACCCGAAAATGGTAATTGGTTAAACATTGTTTCAGGCAAAGATATATGCTACGGTGCAAGAGCTGATATTTACTATATTCCCGTCAGTAAAGCGAAAAGTTTTATTGAACTTTCAAATATTTTTAAAGAAGAAAGTGTGTTTTTAGAAATAGCAGTACCAACAATAATAACATTTCTTTCAAATGATACTCTAAGATTGAATGGCATTTACATGCCCGATCAACACAATTTATATAAAAATGTTTTAAAATGTTACCATTCAGACTTAATCTTTATACATCCTGTAAAAATGAACTACGGTGAAGATTCTCTCAATAACATAAAGTTTTTAAAAAGTTACTCACACAATGCTTCTGTTAGCATTAGTTGTTAGTTTAATCTAACCAAGTTTTGAGTTCAACCTCAAGCATTTAAGTTCTTTTATCCTATCTAAATATTTTATATAATGTGTTTTTTGTGAAGATTTTCTTTTTAACTAAACTTTTTAAATTACTGTAAACAAGACTTTTTAACAAAAACTTTTTTGAACTAAATAGTACTGAATACGACTTCAACAATCTGTTTCATTAGTTGGATAATATCGTATCCAAATATTGGATATGCCAATTAATCAAAACAATGATGTAATTGTTTTTAAGACAAAAAAAATTAACTTGTCGTTTTCTTTTTTTTATTATTATTATATTTTAAATTTGTTTTACGTTCACTGTGCCTCAGAGAGGCAATAAAGTGACAAAAACTCCTAATTTTAAAATATAAACTTTTTTTTTAAACTTTAATTTCGTACTCTCAGACATGTATAAGTGATGTTAGGGTATTGGGAAAGTAACTTTATCAAATTTAGCGTTAAGTAAGGTTTTCAGTGTGCATAATGATAGAAAAGGTAAACTTTAGTGAATTAAGCGACATTTTATTTATATTTTAAACGTCAAAAAATTTGTTTTTTCTAAAACTATTGATTTTTATCCTTTTTTTATCTTTTACATTGTAGAAAACTATCAAAATACAGTTTTTTTAAATATGTATCAACATCCTTTAAAAACCATTGTTATACAAATATCCAACAGAGTGATATTAAAAAATAGTTTGATTTAGCTTGAATATCCTGAAATTTTAACTTAAATTATTTTTTACGCGTGTAGTCATTCGTAACGCGCTCAAAAACTTCTATGCTCGAAATTGTATACGTTAAAGCTGTGCATGAAAATATTTTTTTATTATAATAAATCAGTGGCGGGTTTGAGGGGGGGGGGCAAGGGGTAGTAGTCCCCCACCCTTGGAACTATGTTATCTATTTTTTTAAGGCGAGTAATAAAATAAATCAATAATCTTTATATGCATAAGTTATGCATATAGGCATATGCATAAGTTATGCAGCATAACTTAATTTTAGTTCGCTTTAATGTAAAAACGCACGAATGCTTCGTGCGTTTTTACAATAAGTTTTTAAACCATAATGCATTGTAACGCAATGTGTTCTTAAGCGGATGGTCGTACAGTTTGCATTGTTGTTTATTCTGTATATTATCTGTATCTGTTTAATTAATGTATTCAATCATTTATAATCATATATTTATTTTATTTTTTAATTTAGTTTTAGAAATTTTAAGTGATATTTTAAATTTTATGTGTTGAATGTCAAGCGTTATTTTAAAATTAACACAATTAACAAATGAGCAATGATTCAATCATCCAATTGCTGCAATGCCATTGGCAATGGAGATAGTAAAAAAGCAACTATTGCAAAAAGAAAACAAGTCAATATTTCTACATATTTTAACAAGAAACATATTTTATCACAACAGGTTAATAAAGCCGAAAACTTATCCATTCCGATACTGTGCACTTCTCAATTATCTGAAAATGAAGAAAACACTGCTTGCAGTATCGAAAAAGATATTTTACAACCTTTAACTTTTATTGAGGATATTGGATATTACATAAACTTAAAGTCTTTAAATCAGAATACAAGATATCGATTAATTAAAAAAAACTGTTTGCCTGGATCTGATTTTATTTATCCTTTTTCAACACATGTTAAAAAAGGCAAAGAAGTGAAACGATACTTATATCAATCTCACTTAACAAAATTTCCTTGGTTAGCATATTCATCAATAAAATCTGGGTTATTCTGTAAATTTTGTGTACTTTTTGTTGTTAATAATACTGGGGGATTGAGAAATACTGAACCATTTAAAAAGGTAGTCACTGTACTATTAAGTACATTTGCAAAACCACTTGGAAAAGATGGTGACCTAGAATCCCACCAAAATAATTTACAAAAATGCAGTTTTACAAGCTGACGAGTTTTTAATCCGTTGTGAGCAGCCAGAAAAAGAAGTTCTTAATTTGATTGACAGTGAAAGAAAAAGGCAAATAAGTGAAAATAGAGAAAGAGTTACACCTATTATAGAGCCAATAATTTTTTTAGCAAGACAAAACATTCCTCTTAGAGGGCATAGGGATGATGGAGATCTATTAACTGATACTATTTTAAAAACATCTGTTATTAATTAAAGGAACTTTAAAGAACTTTTCAGATTTCGAATAAAATCTGGCGATAAGATATTAGAAAATCATCTTAACATAACTCATGCTAAAGCTACATATATAAGTAATACTATTCAAGAAGAAATAATAGAATCCTGCAAAGAAGAAATTATTTATAAAATATTGTCAGATATTAAATGTAATAAGTTTTACAGTACTATATTGGACGAAACTACAGATGTATCGCATTTATCTCAAATGACTCTAATTTTAAGATATATATTTGATGAAAAAATAAAAGAAGGTTTTGTTTCATTCATAAATTGCCACACATACTTTTATAATAAGCAAAAGTCAAATCAGGATAAACAAATCAATCATAATGAAGAATGTTTAGAAAATACAGAAAGCAACATTATTGAACCAAAACTCACAGGTGATGTTCTTGGAAAAATAGTAGTTAATATTCTAAAAAGTTTAAATTTAAACTTGAAACACTGTGTTGGAATAGCAACTGATGGTTTCTCGGTTATGACCTCTACAGTTCGTGGTGCTGTTAAATATATTCAATTAAATGCAACTCCAAATGCAGTTTATAGTCCATGTACCAATCATTGTTTAAATTTATCAATATCTAAATCATCTAGTGTCATGGCAATTAGAAACTCTGTTACTATTATTAAAGGAACTGTTAAATTTTTTAATATGCCAGCCAAAAGAAATCATGTTCTTAAAATAGTATTTGGTAAAAAAAAACATTTGATGAGTTTATGTGAAACAAGGTGGATTGAAAAACACGACAGCGTTTTGATATTTAAGAATTCTCTACACCATATCATTAAATCTCTGAACCTTATAACCAAATGGCAAGATAATGATTCATCAGTAAAGGCTTATTCTTTTGTAAGTTCATTAACTACATGTCAATTTATAATATCATTATTTATACTCTCAGATTTACTCAACTTAACGACACCTGCAAGTAAACTACTTCAAAGTGTTCAAAAAGATCTACATTTTGCAGAAGATTGCTTTAAGGATATTATAAAAATTATGGAAAATAGGCGGTCTAACTGTTTTATAAATTTTAAAACAATATTTATAGAATGTAAACAACTTATGGAAAAATTAGATGTGGAACTAAAGTTACCTTGTATTACTAAGCATCAAATACACAGACCAAATATAAATACTTTATCAGTAGAAGAACACTTTTGAGTTTCTGTTTATAATCCACTGTATGATCATGTCCTTGATGATTTAAAGGATAGATATTTAAGTAAAAAAAAATGTAACTATTTATAAATTGTTACTTCTTATACCAAGCCTTATTGTTGCTATTAAAGTGCATGATATGAATATAAATGCCTAATAGCATTGCATCAACTGAAAGAAGTTTTTCTACTTTGAGAAGGTATATTTACATTAAAAATTACATTATTAAATTAATAACCAAATAATCTTATTTTTTTAACTAAAATGAATTTAAATCTAGATTAAAAGATTGGTTAAATCTAGATTAAAAGATTGGTCCCGAATGAGCCAAGATTGAATGGTTTAGCTCTAATTTATGTTCATAAGGAAAAGGAATTGTCAACAGATAGCATTATTGAACGGTTTTCAAGAGTTAAAAAAAGAAAGATTGAATTTATATTGTAATGTTGCATTTATTTTATAGATAAACGGTTCATTTTTGTTAATATTGTATGTTTCTATTTTAAAGATGGTTTCGGGTAAAAATTGATCGCGATTCAATTTTTGTTGATAACAACTAAAAATTAATAAACAGGCGATTTTAATAAGTTTGGTGTGTGTAGATAAATTTTTGAGAAATTAAATCCATTAATTACGTCAAGGAACTTTTTTACCCCTATTGTAACGCTTTTGTGACAAGTTCCGTACGATTCGTCATAAAACTACTAAGCCCCCCTCCCCTTTAGAATGTAACGTAATATAAAAATGACCCTTTTAGTAAACTTTTAAACTTTAAATAGCCCCCTTTCTTTTGTAAGTGATAAAACCCGCCTCTGTTATAAATTCGACCTTTTTGACCCAAAAAAAAATCAACAAAATCAATCATATCAACATATAACATTTTAATTACGATCTTTATTAGAATTTATAGAGTTATTGGTATTTTTTGATCATTCTGAGGCATCCCAGACAGCAAGGATATACTAGTCTGGTAACGGCTTGCCTATGCCAGCGAACTCATTATAGGAACTGTTTTTGGGTTGTCAGTTCTGGAAAGCCGTAACAGGGCAATTGCAGAGCCTTTATAAAATTGCCTAAGCTGGGTAGCCGCAAAAAAACTATTAATGGTTTAACAGATTTGTCGAACAGAACAACATATACAGGTCTATACTCCCAGTGGGCATCAAACCAAAAAAATGACGTCTTTTGAACGTTCAAAAGATGTCTAAAACGTGTATAAGACGTTTAAAAGACGTTTTTTTTAACGTCCGTGTCCACTGTTATAGTGTCCACTGTTGTATTGTTATAAAATCAAAATTAATATTGATATAATCTAATGCATTTGCGTTTACAGCGCAGATTTTTGCATCCGTTTTGAAATTTGAATGTTACGTAAATTGTGTAAAACTTTCTAAGTAACAAGAGTTCATATCAAGTTAACTTGATATAAAAATAAATTGCGCAATCTTATATCTTGTGCAATACCTGTTTGTTATCTCTATGCCATTTATCTAACTCATTTTCATCTGATTTTTACTCTAACATCCTTCGTTTATCTTAAACTCACTTAATGGTCTCTTAAACTCACTTGGTCTGCGAAGCGGGTTATGATGATCTTCAGTGAGCTAAACTTGTCTTCGCAGTCTTACCTTGGTAAGTGGCCTCTCTATGGGAATTAAACGGAAGAAGACAATACCATCTTGAAAGTAGTTTTTTTTTCACTTTTTATACAAGTATATATCTTAAGAAGTGTATTGTAAAAAAAAATTTTCAGGCTTCAGGCAAATAAAAAAAAATTTTCAGGCTTCAGAATCTAATCTGTTTTTTTATATTCTATTTTGCGTGCAAAATA